GGCCAGTTTTCATTTGCCATTCTTCCATGTGGTTAGTCTGGTTCATACATATTCCTGGTGATAACCCAATATCATTGGCAGTTCTGTGAAGTTGCAGAAAGAGATGGTGTGGTGTGTTAGCTTGGGAATTAGGACACTTCTGAGTCTTGACAGTCTGCCCTGGCCACTACCCAATGTCTACTCATCCTGGAGTCTCAGTGGGTTCTTTTGTAAATTGAGAGATACTGAGAATGCCATTCCTAAATTGTCTGATTCTGATACTTATAAACCCTTAATACAAATGTTATTAAATGGTTCCTCCTTTAAAGCTAGTTGTTTACCTATACTTGGCAAAAGAAAAAACTTATGTCNTGAGCTAACTGGCCATCCCTATATAGGGATCCGAACCTGTGGCCTTGGTGTTATCAGCACTACACTCTCAAGTGAACCATGGGCTGGCCCTTAAATGTCTTTTGAGGGTTGGCCGGTTAGCTCACTCAAGATAGCATGGTGCTGATAACACTAAGGTCAAGGGTTCAGATCCCGGTACTGGCCAGCTGACAAAAAAATAGTAATAAATGGAGTTTGAACCCAACATACTTATAATAGGTAAGCTTAAAACTTTCTCTTTTCTTCCAGATAAAGCTTCACCAAGAAGATTGCCCAGGAAACGGGCACAGAAGAGATCAGTGGGATCTGATGAGTAAATGTTCCTTTGTGCAACAATTCAGTCTTTACTTAACCTGCCCTAATGTTTTTCGGCCTGATGGGAATTAGTGCAGAGAAGCCATATCACCATAGAAGCAACTACTACTTATGTGTGGACCGAGCAATCAGAGTCTGTGGCGATAATATGCTGAAAATGCACTGCGTTCATTTTTCTAAAGTAACACATTTGGTTTTTTTTTAAAACCATTAAAATCTGTGTGTGTGCGTGTGTATGTATGTGAGCAGTTGGTCTTACCAGAATCATTGTTGAACTACCTGAAACGTGCCTTTAGAATACTAAGTATAATACTTTTATCTCTTCCT